AGAACAGCCAGCAGTCGTCCAGAGTGGCATGCAAGTGCCCGTGCTCTTCCGTGATCAGCTCCTTGATCCATGACTGTGATCGCAGCCTGGCCCTTGTCCCCTCCATCTCATCATCCCAACTCGCAGCCAGGCCCCCGGAGAAGAGGGAGTGGGGAGAGAGGTGGAGGGCACTCCCTCTCATCCTCCTATCGCATTCAGCGTGAGACCTTCCAGAAGACGGGGAGGTATGGGCCCATGCTCATGAATCCACCCTCCCATCTCACAATTGCCGCCGCCCCCGCTCGCGTCAAGGTGCGGCTCTTTACTTAATCAATCTGACTTGGTTTGTGCCATCCCTGGCCGGTCCCAAACCTTCTTCTCCACACCCTTCGCTTGCTCGCTCCTGTAAGGGGTTGAGGGGCCGTCGACCGCCGTCTTGGCTGGGATACCCGTGCTAGCCGTGCCGGCCGCCCACTCTCCCTCCCTGCCCGGTCCCTGGGTAACGCACACTCGCGCCCCCCAAATAGTCAAGAGGGACGCCGCCGGATGGGGCACCATTGTGCTGTGCTGACCTAGCATCATCTAACCTGGTCCTGACCTGTGATCTGCTGCGACAGCTCGTAAATCGCCCTCACGCGCAGTAGGCTGCTTCGGCTCGTCGGGAAAGCTAGCTCGGCCGTCTCAGGATTCAATATTCCAGACATTAGAGTTTGATGAGAAGGCGGAATGAATGCGAGAAAGCCACACTTTCGCCCTTCGCTTTCGATCAACCTCCGACCTCCGACGTCACCCACTACCTTTCCGCCCCCCTCCCTGCTGGACCGCATGACGCCGGCGTCCAGTTCGAGACGCCAAACACGGGACGAATTTGTCGCCGGTGTCTATCCCTCATGTCGGCTCCTTCTTGGCGCTTCCTGGGCGCTCCCCTGACAGGCAACGGCGTGCCACCGCCTGGGTAAGTTGACAAGCGCGCTGCCACTGAGGGCGCACAAGCGCTGATGCGGTGCGTGGCGATGCGATCAGACCGGATCGACAGGATCAACTGACAGCCAACGTCTTCCAGTCTTCCAAGGCACTCTGCTTGTGCAGTAAACTTCGGCGTCGCATGAGCCGTGGGTGCCTCCTCCTTGGTCAGACGTGGATTGACATCCATCCAACCGTTCTATGTCAGACAACCGCAGCAGCTGTAGGAACAAGATGCCTGTCTGGTTTCCCTGCTTACTTTTGGATCCTTGGTTCTGGGTTTGCGATAGTGCTGGTGCTGCGGACTGCGGATAGCCTCCGAGCCTGGTACATGTAATACGTATTCCCGTGGCATTTTCGGCCACATCCTCCGAGAGGTACGAGAAAGCTGGGTGACTGCGGAATATGTCCATGCCCGCCCACGCATCTGCCCCGTTCTCCAGCCAGCCCAAGCCTATCCCAGGGCAGGGCTGCCAGGGTCAGGGGCCGCGACTGGGTCTGGAGGGGGGAGGGCGGTTCCTCTCTTCGTCTCCTCCACTCTCTCCCAAGACACACCTAGCTCATAAGAGCAATGGGAGATTTCCACCCCAAGCCCCCCCCCCTCTCTTTTCGCGCCGCCCCCCCTGGTTTTCTCACACCTATTTCCACTGGTCCCCGTGGCTTGATGTCAGATTAAAAGTTTGCGCTTTCAAGTCGATGCGACGTCGTGGCACGGCCACCCTATCGGTGTGCAATCCCTGCCTCCAGGACGCTGGTCCTCGATTTGCGGGATGCGGCATGCGACGGACCATGGCAGAGTGGCTATTGGGGTTCAGACGTCCTACCATCTCATGCACTTTTAAGGTGAGTGGGTAGAAGACTGGGCATGTCGGATTGTCAGGTGGACATTAGACTCTGTCCAGTCGCCGTGCCGAGCAAACCACCACCGCCCTGCCCTGGCCCTGCTGCCCACATCACACTCATCAAGCCCCACGACGTGGTCCCGACTCGCCCACGAACTCCAGGAGCGTGTGTTTTGCCTATAGGTGGCGCAAACTGTCCAGCGTTCTGGCGCGAGTTTGACGGCGTAGTGGGCTTCCCCATAATCTCGGAGGATCGTGCGCTCCCCGCTGCTGTCACCCTGCCTGCTACTTACTTCGCGATCAGAGACAACCGTGTCGTTGATGGCCGTCACGTTTCGAACGTAGAGCGCGACGTCGTCCTTGGAAGCTGAGTCAATGCCACCAAAGTAAAAGTCCTGCCGCGTCCAGCCCGAGCCGGAACTGCGCCGGCGGTCCCCAGACTGGTGGAAGCCTGCTCTGCCTGTTCGTAGGGTTTCAAGCTTGCAACCCAATAGCTGATTACCACCTTGGCTGACAGCACCAAAGACCTCAAGACCTGACGCGAAAATGGCATAACCCCAGGTTTTGAGGCGTAGACCTTGCTCGAGCTCCGCTTCTATGGTCAGGCTTTTGTCCGGCCCGATGCTGAAGCTTGTGTTTGCATAGAGAGGGTATGAATACTCCGTAGCGTACTGTCGCGGACCGGAGGCCTCATCTGCACCCGAAATAGTCATCCTGTTGATTTGATTGGTGCCGAAAGAACTAACATGGGCCAGATTGCTGTACCTCAACTCTTGATGCCACCAGGCTTGGTATGCGCCCTTTTGGGTGCGAACTTCTCCCGAAACCGAGACTGTGCGCCGCACCCGAAGTGAGTAGTCGAGGAACTCGTTGACTCCGTGACCATCTTGCCGTCGTTGGTGGGAGATTGATAGAAGTGGCTCCGGGGCATCGACTTTGGGCGCCGCGCCTGTTGTGACGGAGCCCGGCTCGTCTAGCCAGACGAAGATCTTCCCCGTGACAACCCAGTAAGCGTCGATCTTATCTGACAAGGAGGCTGGTGCTATGTCATCGTCAATTCCCACTACCCTGATTTCAAAAGTATGTGACAGGCCATCGCACAGGACTGGCAGCCATGCTGAAACATCAATCTCATGCTCGCGCAAGTCAAACGCCTCGATCCCAACAATGGGGCGGTGCAAAGCCGGGGACACACCACCCGTAAATACGACGGGAAACGGCCACTGTACCCCCGCCAACTGATTATCGATGTACAACTGAACTTCTCGAAACGGACTCAAGCCTGGCATGCTGCTGGCGGTATGGTTGAAGGTATCCACGTCGCTTTGAAGCACATTGCTCCACCAAAACTCCTCTGCCATCTGCCCGTTGGCCGAGAGGGAAAATACAGCACGGTTGGCGTGTTGCGGGAAGTAGATGGTACTGACAGCCTGCTCAGAGGGCAAAGACCATGCGCTCCCCTTCCCAGACGCACCATTCTTTGCTGAGATGGGGATGATCATGTCGGCCGGGGTGCCACCCTGGTGCTGACGGATTACTTGGCTCTTGAAGAACGTTGCCGTCAGTGTGCAGTTGAAGGAGCCTGTATACCTTTCGTCTGTTGGGGAGTCAGCTTCTGGCAGAAGCAAAACGGAGCTGGGGATTTCTGTTTTTTCTTCTTCTTCAGGTTCGTCAGAGCACGTACCAACGAGGTTTCCAAGTTCAAAAATGATCGTCTGAGGCGACTTCCAGAGGGCGAGAAACTCGGTCATATCCTTCCAGTACGTCCACACAATACCAGGGGTTGGCTTCGGCTCGGCAGTCGAAGTTCGCCACACTTCAGTGTCATTGAAAAACATGAGGGCAAGACGATCAAACTGCCGTCCCGACGAGCTGACAGTAAAGTTCATGATGACCCTGTCGAATTCGCATGCAGGCGGGGGGGCATAATGGCCTGCGACTCTTTGTCAGCTTCAGCTCTCGTGTGGCGTCTTGTCTTCCAGCAGAGTGTATTCACTCACCGACGAACGGCTTTCCATAGCTAAAGCCGAAGGAGTGGGACATGAGTTGCACAACACAGGAGTCCTTCGACCGCACCGCATCGATTGCGGGTTCGTTGCCAGCCTGGTACACTGGCCCCGTCGGGCCCAGCACTGGTTGGGCGACCTGAAAACATTGCAAAGGCTGGGAATTGTCATTCAGGGACTGCGAGGCGTGCGAGATCGGCTTTTGCGAGTCGATAGACGCCTGGCGTGACAAGGCGAACACCTCAGGGTATAGACTTAGGCCAGGGACAGCCATTGCTGCTACAATAATCCAGCCGCGCAGCAGCATGATGGAGGTCGGTATCCAACGTCAGAGTTTGGAGATTTGTATGGGGGTATGCCGACGCTGCACCGAGTGGGTGTCGTGGCACCAAAGTGTTGTGAGTCGTGACACCGGCAAACGTGGGGAGGTGTACGTCAGCTGAGGCGCACCCGCTGAATCAGTTGACCCAAAGCAATTCTCGGGTTTTGAAGCCCAATAGCCGCATGTGCTGATCGATGAGTCGTGCGACGGCGGGATTCTCCATATGAACGGAAACAAAGTGTGGATGTTGAAGGCTCAATGTCGTATCCAGGATGCTTGCTCCATGGCGGTTGGCCATCAAACAGTGGTGGGCCGCAGCGTCAACGTGCAATGGTTGACAGAGAGAGATGACGTAAGGTAAGTAGGCAGAGGGGCCGAGGGGGAACGAGGTACCTAGTGCCTAGGCTCTTGGCGGCTGCCCTGAAAATATTACAGTGGTATCGCGCCTGCCTAGGTACCCTGTCATACCTGTGTACCCACCTCTGGTCAGTGCATGACGGCAGAATGTTCCGAATTCCCTCCGTCATTGGTCCGGTGCAGCTTCAACATCGGGTCAGAACCTCTCAACCACATCCAGCTACATGAATCGCCAGAAAACCAAAGCAGGAGCATGGCTTGTACGAGAGTCTCGTCGCAACCACCTCATGGCCATGTGTTATGTGTCATTGATTAAATTGTGTCTTATAGCCCTAAGCGGTCATCCCTTCTAAGGGTGAGAGACCTGAATCATCCTCGAAATAAGCCGTTCAGTGCTGTCATGATGGCCCCAAAAAAAAACGAAACCCCCTCGTGCGCCATTAATGAACAATACAAGGTGTGGGCTCCTCGCAATGCTGACGAGTATGTAGAAAAACAACTGATATACTTGGAGGTATCATCCCAAAAACACTAAAAAGACGAAGAGCCACGAGCACCCATGCTGGCAGTGCCAGGGATTTGTACATCGCCTTGTCGGGGCGTGGGGGGATTCTGACGAACACATTGGTCGAAACGGCGCTCGCTGACAGTCTTCCATTGACCCACGGGGTCGGCAGCAGATGAGACATGGTAGCCTCATATCTGCTGTCTACATGTAGCCCTTGGCCGTTGCTAGATGCCGACAAGGTTGAGTGACAAGACCGGTAGGAACGGATGCGTTGGCCCCGAACGGAAAGCTCCCGCCCCCGTCATACCAACCGCTGTGTCGGTCGAACATTGCGCCCGGGCGCAAACTGTGCCCTTGTGAGCGTGGTCGAGGAGTGGATGCTCCGGTGTTGCAGCGTATGACCGCCAAGAGCTGAGATTGTTTCGACCCGATTGGCCTGGACAGCGAGGTTGGGTTGCAAGTATGAGGGCGCTCGTAACGATGCAGTGGAATGGGCTCATGTTTGCAGGCACAGAGAACTCTGCGGCTGTCGCCCGACGGAGGAGCGGGGATAGGGAGGGTGTCGCCAAGCCGAAGTCTGGAGCAGCACCAACATCTGCAGTGCTACTGGGGTAGAATGGTTAGGGTCTGCGTCCGTCTGGCCAAGCGCCGTCACGGCATCGGACCCTTTCCCCCTCCCTTCTTAGTTGGCGGGTGGCCCTGTCATGTTGTCCCAATATCGGCTTCTCGCCTCCGTCGCGGTACGGTTATCGACGAACCGATGTTGGAAGTAGTTGAAGACAGCAAACTCGTCTCGGCTCATGATGTAGGAACTTGGTTGTGCCGTGATTTTGGACCAAGTCTGTTCCCAGGGCCGTCTCGAGGATACCGCTGATTGTGGAATCTGAGGCGCCATCTGGGCTCTCTCGAGCAACCTCAAGAACTTGCGCCACGGTGGCAGATGAAGTCGCGGCAGTCTTGGACAGTTTTGCCGAGGAAGAGGCACCGAGGCCGCTTGCACTGCTGTTGCCCATGGCCATGATGGTATACAACGGCAGGTCGGTGGAGGGACGGCCAGAGGTGAAGGGTCTGAATGGGAGGCAGCGAGGCTGGTGTTGATAGTCTTGTTGCGGGTTGAGAGACAGCATTGTGTGTCTAAGGAGTGGGATGTGTGTGTGTGTATATATATATATATATATATAGGTGGAAGGGAGTGCAGGATGGAACAAATTTCGGGTGGCGGACTTGAAGGACGGTTTTGTAAGACGCCCTGGAAGTATCGGTGCTGGTCACCCGAAGGTAAGGTATGGATGAGGGTGCCGGGTTTGGGGGCGACCCAGGGAACAGGCCTCTTGCTCCGGGGCACGGTGCTCACGACAGCACGAAAGTAACGACACCTTGGTCTGCGTTGACGTTGCAAAGAAGAAGAGATCAGTTGCACTGTGGTACGGTACGTGAACGACGTGAGAGCAGTGCGCAGCATTTCAAGCTGATCAAGATGTCTGGGACGACAAGGGTCTCTTATAGAAAGACCAGCGTCAACGGCCAGAAGATGGCCAGTTCTCTCCTAGCGTCTTCAGCGGCGAAGGTATCACTTGAATGGGGAGGGGAGGGGGGCGTGGGAGGAAAGGGTGGGGGGAGAAGGGGAGAAGGGGGAAGGGGGTGCGATGAGATAAAAGTATGTTGCAAGTCATTCATGCCGGGATCAAGGTGAGGGAAAGTTAGGTAGGCTGGGGACGGGGAGGGGGGTGGTCGCGTCGTCTCGTTTTGCGCGCCTGCGACAGGCAGCTCATGCAAGCGACAGTGGTGAAAGGCTTCGGGTACCGTGACGAGTACCTTCTGGCTGGTGTACCTACACTGGACCACCTCCCTGGCCTGACAGCCTAAAAAAACGTGGTGGCAGGCGTTAGCGTCTTAGTACCTTGGCCCAGGGGGAAGGAGGGGGGGGGGCGTGGTGAGT